CTTTAATGGGAGCATGTTGCAAACTTTTCACAGGGGAGGCACTGGAGGCGCGACACATGAGGACATCACCCCTTCCACAGCTCTAAAAGCCGGGTAGGTTGGTGACATGGGTGTGAGAACCTGAGGCGATACCTTCCCAGCCGTGGGCCCAGAAATCCAACTTTCTGCCACCCCATAACCCTAGCCTGGGCAGAGCCCCTCTGCTGTCCTCTGGGAACAGAAATGAAGAACACCTTCCACGCTCACACCCATCCGACCTGCCCACTCTGGAAGCCACCCACCCATGCCAGTGCCCAGACTGTCTGTAAGAACCCTGTGTGACCCTCACCCCAGCCACCTGCAGCCCACAGAGCCACCGCCCTCACCCTTGGTCCCAGCTGTCTGCAGGTGGCTGCAAGGGTCTCAACTGCCCAGCAATTCCAGGCCAGACTAGCAGCCATCTCTGCTCTCCATGGATGTCTGCCATCTGCAGCACTGTTCTTGCTGGGGTACTTGTCCTCAGCCCTGGAATGCCACACAGAGGACTTTCCTCTGCCTCATAGTTCTGCTCTGGCCAGAGTCATAAGTCTTCAGGGTTCCAACCTGGGTGACCTCCCTCTCCTGACTGGGCTCAGACAGCTACACTAACCTGCCCCCTCAGCAGCCAGCTCCCAGCAGTCACTTAACCGAAGGGCTGGACAGTGTCATTTAGGGATAGGGGTGGCCCTACATAGGGAGGTCACAGGCTTCCTTCTGAGCAGGGAAGGTGACTCAAACATTTTTATTCTCTCTTCCTCAAAGAACATATAGCGCTAGGCCCATCGTGGATACAGACTGGCAGGTTGGGAAAAACTGGGTGAATACAAGCTGTGACCAAAAACTATCATGAATAAATAAATTTTTAAAAATTTATCATAGTAAAAGGCACATTGCCATTAATCTCCTTCAAACTACTTCCCCATGCCCCAAGCACACCTATTTCATCATTCTTGCAACTTTATGAAGCAGTTCTGGAAGTCTTTCTTCATGAGTGTCTTCAGTTGGGCTGTTGTGGCTGCCTTGATGTCATGAACCAACACAAAACATTTACTTTTCATGGTCATTTTGACTTTGGGAAAGAGCCAGAAGTTACATGGTGCCAGATCTGGTGAATAATGTGGACGAGGACACGCTGTAACTGTGATGGTGAACCTTTTAGAGACCAAATGTCCAAACTACAACCCAAAACCCATTTGTTTATCATGAAGTGCCAACACTGCAATTAAACTTGAATGCTCAACTGCCGGGGCAATGCAGGGGTGACTTGGGTCGTTGGGGTGACTTGGGTTGTGTGCTGACAGGGAGCGATCTGCACACCTGCTGTGGCATCTGGGCCATAGGTTCACCCACACTGCACTGTAATGTTTTCCTGAGCTTCCATGAAAGGTTGGCTGGTACGTGGCAGCTGCATTCACCCATCTTTTTCAATCATACTTCATAAAGACACTCACAAAAGAGGACTTCCAGAACAGCTTCAGAAAGTGGCAAAAACCATGGGCTAATTGTGTTCAAAGTGAAGAGAATTATTTTGAGGAGAATTAGTGGAAATATGTCTTTTAGTGTAATAATTTTAAAAATTTAAACATTCACAGTATATTTTTATCACACCTGGCAAGTGGGTGTTATGTATGTGTGACTACAAGGATAGGTGGATGGAAGGATGGATGGCAGGATTAGATAAGAAGCTGAATTAATAGGTGGGTGGACAGAAGGATGGATGGGTGATGATGAGCTGGGGAGATAACTGGACAGATGGACAAATGGATGGAAGAATATATGGTATGCGAGGAAATGACTGGATAAGGCTGGCTGGCTGAATGGATGGATGGATGAGAGGATGGATGGATGCATGCATGATAGATGAACAGAAGACTGTTAGAAGGAAGGGAGAAAGGATCTATGCATGGATGGAAGTATGGAAGAAAGAAAGGATGGATGGATGGATGGAAGAATGGATAGAAAAGTAAGTTTTTGGATGGGTAGATGAATGGATGGATGGATGGATGGATGGATGGATGGATAGATAGATGGAATAAATGGATAAATGAATGGGTGGATGGCTGGGAAATGGATGGATGGATGGATGGATGAGGTGAGATGGGATGGATGGATGGATGGAATGAGCGGATATGTGGACAGATAAATGATTGGAATGGGTGGATAAATAGATGGATGAATGAGATGAGTGGATGGGTGCATGGAGGGGTGGGATGGATGGATTAATGGATGGGATAGATGGATGGATGAATAGATGGATAAATGGATGTGATGAATAGATGAATGGATGATGGATAGATGGATGGATGGATGGATGGATGGATGGATGGATGGATGGATGGATGAATGCAAAGAAGAAAGGATGGATGGAAAGGTCAGTTGATATGTGGTTGGATGAATGAATGACAGGATGGATGGATGGATGGATGAGAAAAGTGGATGGGTGGGTGGTGAGAGAAATCAATTAGGTGGATGGGTGGACAGAATGTATGGGATGAGAGCATAGATAATGGATGCATGGATAGAATGGATCATAGACAAATGGATGAATGGTTGGATGGATGGAATGAATGGTTGCATGGACAGATGAACAGTTGTGATGGATTAAAGAATGGGTTGGATGATGGATAGATGGACAGATGGATGGATGGATGGATGGATGGGTAGATTGGTCGGATGAATGGATGGACAAATTGATGAATGGAAGGGTGGATAAAATGAGTTAATGAATGGATAGATGGGTGAGATGAACAGATAGATGAACAGATGGATGAGATGAATAAGACAAATGAATGGATGGATAAATGGGATGAAAGAGTGAACAGGTAGGATGAATGGATGGATAGACAGATGGGATAGATGAGTTTGTGGATAGAAGGATACAATAAATTGAAGGATAGATTTGATGAATGGATGGATGGATGGGATAAATGGATGGATGGGACTAATGAATGAAGATGAGTGAGTGGATGGATGACAGAATTTGATGGAATGTTGGATTAATAAATCAATGATTAATTAATCAATGAGACAAGGTGATAAGAAATTAACAATGGTTGTTGTATTATATGTTGTTATCTTCAGATTGGTTACTCAGATAAACAAATATAGGCATGTAAGAATGATCAAACAATTAAATATCAACTGCTCCTTTCAAGAAAGTAAAAGAAATTAATAGTACAATTATCTTAGCTATCTTGTGTGTGTATATACATACATATTTTCCCTTCTTTCTTTTTTTTCTCTTTTCCCTCATCCCAGTCATCCTTTCCTTTTGAGCAGTTTCTTTCCCTTTTGTTGAAGATAACAATATGTAATATAACAACCATTGTTAACTCCTATCATCTTGTTTTGGGATCCTGTATTGTTTTTACTGTTCTTATATTGTTTTGTTTTTGTCTTTGTTGTGGTTATTTTGATATTGTTTTTTCTCTGTGAAATAAAATATATGTCAATGAGTGGTTTGATGCAAAGATAGATGGATGACATGATAGACAAATGGGTGGAAGAATATGTCCTAGACAGGTATGTGCTTGAAGAAAGGAAGGACAGATGATTGCATGAATAGATGGATGCATAGATGGACAGATAAACAGATTGCTGGGCTGCTGGATGGTTGGATGGATACTACAAATTGAGCTCATACTATTTTTCTGTTTATTAACTTTCCTTTATGGGCTGGGTGTGCCTTAGATATTTTGTCTCTCCTGTACACCAGATTACATAGTTTAGGACTGATCCTATATTAAGCTCAAGTAAAGGTAATATTAAGGAATTAATTAAGCAGCCAAATAAAAATCATACTTTCCTGAGCAAGATCATGAGAGTAAATTTTTTTTCAGTAATGAGGATTGACCTTAGGACCCTTGCACTGAGCTACATCCCCAACCCTTTTTATTTTACTTTTATTTTTATTTTTCAAGACAGGTTCTCATTAAGTCACTGTGTTGCCCAGGCTGGGCTTGAACTTTCAATCCTCCTGCCTCAGCCTCCTGGAGTGGCAAGCCACCATGCCTGGCTATGAGGCTGGATTTTATATTTAGCTCCTTCACGTTCTCAGCAACACACCTATCTCCCATCATCAACACACTAGGCTGAGTCCAGCTCCCTGGGCTTGTCACATTAGAGACTTTAGGAATGGACCTGTGACACTTAGAGAGAAAGCAGCTAGTTCCATGCTGGACCAAATATTTTCTTTACTGTGTGGCAATTGAAGCACTTTCTACTCCTGCAAGGAAACACAAAAAGAAAATGGACCCACGTATTTAGGCAGGAAGGAAGCCTACCCCTGGCTGAGCAGTTAGCTTTGCAGGGGAGAAAATCGCAATCTCTGGCTTGCCCATAGTCACATCCCTTGCTGTTCCCTAGGCCACATTGCTGTGAGTGACCCACTGGGTCTCAGGGGTCAGGAGCCAGACATGTGTGGTGAGGCCAGAGAACAAAGGCCCAGGCAGCAGAAGGAAAACCATGCTCATCACCAGAGAAAACCACAGATGGAGAGGTTGCCCGGATAGGCTAGCCGCTTCTCATCACCTGACATGTATGACTTGGGGACCAAGTCCAAGTGGGGTTTCTGGGGCACAGAAGAGGAACTGGACATCTTACGTCTGGACTCTAGGAAGATCACAGTCTCGGGGACCAGCTGCCCTCCAGCCCTGGGACTCAGTACCTTCCTCTCCTCACTGGGCCTTAATTTCTGCATTTACAGAATGGATCTCCAGACCTTGGCTGCCTGACTCACAAGGGCCTTACAAGATGGGACCAGGCAGAGGGCGCTGCACCTAAAGGACAGCACGGTGCCCGCAACCATCAGCTCATCCCCACTGCTCTCCAGGATGATCTTTCAAAGATGAGCTCCCTGGGCACAAAGGTGGTAGAGGCAATGGGTGTGGGTAATGAAGATGTGCGCTCATCTTCCCCCTCTCCCAGGGACAAAGAGAACATAGGGAATGCACAAAGAGAACTGGCCTCAGGTACACAAAGAGTTTGCTGGGCTTGGCTGGAACTTGCAGCTCAAGGGATGTTTAATGCAGGAGGAGAGAAGTCTGGATAACTTGGAGGAGCAAGCTGTTCCCTTAGGAGGGGTGGAGGGTGGAGGAGAGGGGCAGTGAGGGGAGAAGAAGATAAGGAAGAAGAGATGAGGAGGGGCTGCAGGAGAGGGATCTGGTACTCGGTGAAGATCAGACAGCCCCGCCGGTTTGCTGGCCATGATGCCTGTGTCTTTGCCTCAGTTTCCCCAGTGGTTTGAAGGCAGAAAGCTCCTGAGCAGCAAGGCTGGCTCCCCCGCAGCCCTCCCAGTGGCCCTGCGTCAGCGCTGGTAGAAGAGTCCACTGGATATCACGACATATCCCTGAAGGGCGAAAAGAACAGTAAACCAAGTCAGGGGCCTCTGAGGACAGGAGGAGCCCAGCTGCCCCCTGGCCTGGCTCTGAGTTCATTCTGCATTCTCTCTAGGCCCATTTCCTGCTCCATCACTGTGGCGGGAGGTTTAACAGCAGGCACCTCGACAGGCTACAGAGAGGATGCAGAGAGCCCTTGAGAAGGGCACTCAGCAGCGGCTCCATGCGTGGGCAGTGTCGTCACTGTCATCGGACCAGGAGTCCAGAACCATAGGGTGTCTTCACCACATCCAAGTGCCCCGCACAGCCTGGCTGCCCGCCCCCTCTACTTTCTGCACTGCCCCACAGAAGCATTCTACAGGGTTGCCAATTCTTCATTCATTTGATGAATAGTCACTGAGCCTCAACTACACACTAGGCCCTGACAGGTGCCAGGATCTCAGCAAAGAACAAGCTAGACTTAGACCCAGTCCCTGCCCACAGGTAGCTCAGAGTCTAGGACTTCCTGGCACAGTGGGGTGGCCATTAGCCATGTGTGGGTACAGAAATTAATTAAAATTCAAAACGAAAGTGCAGCCCTCAGTTGCACGGACCATGCTGCAGGCACTCAGAGGCCGCAAGTACCTGTGGCTGCTGCTGCGGGCAAAGCAAACTTCCCTCACTAAAGAACACCGTGAGACAGCCCTGGTCAAGGGACCTGCGGCTTCCGACCCTGTGCTGGATTTGCATCAACCACAAAGGGGAGTCTTAGGGCAAGCCCACTGATTGGTGTGCTAAGGGCTCCTGCTTATGGGAGCGGGTCACCCGAGGCTTTGGGACCACAGTCCTTAAGGAACAAGGTCCTCCTCCCAGGGAAGATATGTGACATCTGTCCTGCACAGTCCTTCTGAGGGAATTTCTTTTTATTCCCTGTGTAAGACAGAAAGAAACTGTAGGGTCTCAGCCTGGGCTGGGTTGTGGTTGAATTTCACCCTGGACCCACAAGTTCAAATATAGGGACAATAATTTTAGAAGGTTCAGAAAATTCCTTTCACCCATGCAGCTCACAAAAGATTGTCTACAAGGCCAGAAGGAGCCCTCTCTCATCCACCCCAGACACCACAGGATCATGCCAGCATACAGAACTGTGGGACAATGGAAGGTCCAAAGCCCCTGGTGCAATATTGCATGAGGACCAGAGGAAGGAAAAATCCTGCCCTGCTGGGTCTTTCAGTGTCCTGAATCTCCCATCTCATTACAGTTAAGATGCATGGTGTGGTCTTGGTAGGGGCAGGGCGCACACTCAGACCTGGCTGACCCCAAAACACCATCATGTGCCCTAGAGGAGACCCTGGCCTCGCCAGAGAATGGCCAATGGCCCCCCCCCAAGGCTCTTACCTCATACACAAAGACCTCAGGATTGGTGAAGTAAAGGTTAACCACACTGGGGAGAGCGATTCCCATCCCCAGGAGAGCTGCAGGTGAGGACAGAGAAGTCAAGTTCAGTGGGGAGTGGTGCCAAACCATCCCCTGGAGCTGGCCCTATGCTGAGTCCTCATGGGCATTATGGAATCCAGAAGGTAGGTGCCATTGTGATGGTGCCCATTATATGGAAGGAAAAACTGAGGCTTACAGGGGGAATTGAGCTTAGTGAGGATCACACAGCTGTGTGCCAAATACCCATATGGCCAGCTGGGCCCCTAGGCCACCTCTTAACCTCAGATCCTGGGCAGGGCAGGGGTCAGGAGGGGCCAGAGAGCCTGGTTGGGGGAGCAACACTCACCATTGAGGTGATCCAGCAGTGGCTTCTCGAACAGGGTGCCCACAAGTGCGTGTACCTGCTCCACCTTTGGCCACAGACCCAGGACAGCAGGCAGGTGAAAGAGATGAACAGTTAGGCGCACACATAGACAGTCAGATGGACACACGGGCAGCAGAGGCCCAGGTGGAGGGGGCAGGCAGTTCATCCCCTTCTTGGGTTTAAGTGGAGCCAAGCTACACTGCAACCCAAGTCAGCCTCGGAGGACAGTGCATGCCCAGGGGGAGCCTGAGAGGTGAGTCCTGATTGGCTGACACACCATGTACCCAAAGACTGATTGGACAAACCTGATTGGCTGACATACAGTGTGACCAACAGGTGGGCTGGTTAGCAGAGCCCTTGACACCAGATGACCAAGATTGACAGGTAAAGGGCTTGGCATATTGCCCAACGGACCAGCCTACGAATGGACACACAGTGGCCGGGGCCTAACTCCATGATGGGACTGAAGGGCCAGCCCACACTGTCTGACTTGTGCCACTGACCAGTGAACCCGGGCTGAGGGGTTGGGCTGCCAAGTCACCAACCGCCAAGCAGTGTGAGGACAGGAGGGCTGTGACGAGAGGATAGCGAGAAGGAAAGGCCAGCTGACTGCGCCCAGCACTGGGAAGTCTGGCTGTGGGGTACGTGTGGACCCCTGCACCGTGCCCACACGCGCCCAGCCCCCAGGGGCCCTGGAGACTCAGCCCCACTCACATCGACGAAGCCCACGTTGGAGGCAGCCACCACGAGCCGGATGTCCCTGAAAGAGTAGTGGGGGCCTCATGCTGCCGTACACCAAGCTGCCAGATGTGCCCTGCGACCTGGGGGCAGGGAGGGGTCTCTGCACAGAGGACTAACTGAGGTGACAAGATCCTGGCTTACCCCAGCACCGATGTGGCACCCCGGAGCTTCACCTTGGACACCGACAGCTGTAGGCTCAGGTTCACCACCTGGACACACAGAAAGTGCAGGGTCACGGGGCACCCACTGCCACTCACGCAGGCACAGGTATTTGGGGAACAACTGCTAGATGTCAGGCTCAACACAGTGTAAAGAATACAGACAAGGTCCCTGCCCTCCAAACCCACCACCAGCCAGTGGGGGAGGCAAGCAATAACCAAAGCCACCAGCAGAACACTTTCAGAGTGTGGGAAGGCAAGTGGCATGGAAAGGGTTGAGGAGGACATTCTCACCCTGGGGGAGGGAGTGTCCAGGAAGGTTTCCCAGAGGAAGGCTATACCATTTAAGCTGAAAACTTAAATGTTAAACCCTACAGAAGGAGCCAGCCATGCCAAGAATCAGGGAAAAGAGCCCTAGGCAAAGGGCTCAGCATTGGCAAAGGTCCTGAGACAGGAATGTCCTGCCCATGTCAAGACACAAGGAGACCAGTGTGGGAGGCCAACGCATGGGGGAGGACATGAGCTCTTCTCAGAGGGTCAACCCCTCCCAGCCAGCCCCACCAATTCCCCTCGCTCACCACCTCCAGGGAGAAGAGGGACTGGAAAGCCGAGTTAGAGGACACAGCCAGGACTTCCACAAAGGGCTGCAGCCGCAGTGTGGCATTGTGGGGATGGAACGTGACTGCAGGTGTGGCTCCCAGCTGCACCTTGAGCACCAGGGGCATGGGGTTGGGAAATTGGCGGGCCACCTGTTGAGACAGAGAGGGAGAGAAGGCTCTGCTGGGCCCACTGCACAGGGACACACAGGCTGAGCATCCAGCCTCTCCTTAATGCTTCCAGCTACCGCGGTGCTGCACGTGACTGGGCACAAAGGTGGGTCCAGCCCAGGCCTCTGCAGCAGACAAGGGTCGCCCACCCCCCAGGAGGATCTCCCTGAGCTGGGTCTTGAAGGCGGTAGGGACAGAAGGAAAAAGGACATGCAGACAGAGGGAAGCTGGGCAGGGGCAGAGTGGAGAAAGTGTGAGGTCTGTGCAGAGGGAGGGGCTGTCCTAGACCCCAGGGAGCAGATCTAAGCGTAGATGCTAAACCCCACACAGGACGGATACGACATACACAGCCTGGAGACCCCAGTCCTGTATCTCAACACCCGGAATGGCCAGCAGTGTCACTAACCTCAGGGATGAGCCGGCCCAGTGCAGAGGTGTTCAGTGGGTTGTCCTCGGAATTCTGAAATCAGCCCCCACCACATCAGGTTTACAGCCAGCCGTCCCCCTGCCAGGCCACCACTCACCCCTCACCACCAGGAATCCCACCCCACAGACCCCACTTGGTCCCTCTAGCTGCTCCATCTGCCGTGATTTGGCATCTATGGGGTATCCTGGGGCTAGGCCTCAGGGTGCTCCTGTCCCACACATCCTGGGCAGCAGGCCCAGCCTCACCAGTTCCCCTGTGACGTCCAGGTTGAGGGCGCCAGCCTTCTGCAGCAGCAGCAGGACACAGTCGAACAGTTGCTGGGAGAGGCCCAGAGTCGCCATGGCACCCTTGACACCCACAGGCCAGGGTAACACGAAGGAGGCAGCATCCAGGGGCAGGACGATGGGCTGGCCCAGCAGGAAGAGGACAGCCTATGGGGAGAGACAAGATCTCAAGAAGGGGTGGCCCCATGACCGAACTTGCCACCCACCCCCCAAAATGCCACATGCCAAGTAGCCTGTGGCATTGCCTGTGTGCTACACTGTCCTTGGAATGCAGCTCTTTAACTTCTCTGCTCCTTAGGAATTTTCTGGGACACCATGGGCCCAGAGGCCCACAGCACCCAGCTCTGGGCTAACAAGGAAGTGCTTACGTTGACATCCAAGGCAATGTAGTCACCAGTGATGACAGGCTCGCTGATCATGGAGTAGCGAATCTGGGACTCAGGACCCACGGGGCTAAGGCCTTGATAAAACCAGCATGGAGAAGAAAAATGGAATACTTCGTGGTACCCCGGCACCTTGTCTACCCAAAGCTAAATTATCTGACCACCCAGAGTAGCCAGAGGTAGGCAGGGCCCCTGAGGGAGCTCGCCAACATGACAAAGTGCACACATCCAAGATTCAGCCACGGGGTGCAGCCTGGTGACTCCTGGTTCAAACATAATTCTAACAAGTATGTGTCCTGCCTTCCCCATCAGTGGAAGGCTTGTGACCCCAAATCAGAAGGAAGGAGGCTCAATCCATGCAGAAACACCCGTGACAGAGGCAAAATGGAAGAACAGAAAAAGAAAGATGCTCATCCTGCTCAGGTCCTGACACGTGACTTAGACCATCTCATTCAATCACCAGAACTCAGTGCAGCTCCTTCACACACACACACATGCACATATGCACACACACACACACACACACACACACGCACACACGCACACATACACAGAGTTTGGTGTGAGGCTCAGTCTTGTCCAGGATTGTGAACACTGTCAGTCTGACCTCAAAGCTGTGGCCTCTGAGCTGAGAATACTCGAGGCGTGGAAGGTCCCACCTGGGGAGGTTGCAGAGCTGAGCCTCTGTGGGAACCTCATCCCTGGACATGGTTGCAGGCATGGCCAGCCAAGATGCAGCCCCAGCATCCACCGGGAGAGCCCAGCTCAGCCCCAGTGACCGAGGTTGTGTGCGCATACTTGTGCATATATGTACGTGTATATTTCACATGCATTTGTATACCTGTTATTAAATATCTATTATGTGTCTATTTTATATAGTTTATATAGTTGATTTTATTTATATACAAGATATATAAATATATTTAATTTTTATAGGTAAGTATATAACATATACAAGTACATATTTACAAATACATAAGCATATCTAACTCCACTCAGATTTGTGTTTTTCTATCTTCTCATCTGAATTTAATTTTATTTTCTCTATTTTAGAATTTTACGATTATAAAGGCAACATAGCATGATTCCCTTTCTACAGGTCAGCAGTTGGGGCAGGAGGACGGGCAGCCTGAAGGGGCTTGGGTCTGGGGGAGGGTCTGGGTCTTGGGGGAGGGTGATGGGACTCTGTTCGCCAAAACTCAGAGAACCATGCACTGAAGGGGTGAATTGCTCCCTGATTAAAAAATGAAAAACTTTAAATTTAAAAATAGTAATACATATTCAGGATGAACACTTAGAAAGTATTTTTAAAATGGAAAACATAGCCCAGAATCTCAACAGTATTTTGTGTTAAATATATTCTTAAGCAGATGCGAATTTCTCCCTCTCCCGCTCTTCACCCGCCTCCTCTCATGGGAGTGAAGCTACAGTGTTTTCCGTCCTATTTTTTTCTTAAGCATGTGGTTTTTGAGCTTAGCTAAGAGCCACGTTCTCAGGGCAGGTTGTCCTCAATTTCTTCATCTGTTAAATTGGGCTGGTCATGCTACAGTGTTAGCTGGTATTTCTCATGGGTACTTTACCAACCAGGCATGCACACACACACTCAAGCACATGCACACGCATGCATACATACATGCACACACAGGCAGCAAGAGCCCAGTACTGCTTATTCCCACGGATAGATTCTTCCCCCAAACACGTCCTGCAGGGAGGGACCTTGAGGCAGCACACAGTGGTCACACACTGCCACCTGGGTCTGCTGGCCCTCCTCTCCTGCCCACTGCCTTCAGTCTGTGCACAACCTGGACCTGGCTCCCAGAGGGGTTGTTCATGCCCCCTCCTGGAGCTGCTTGAAGAACCACATCTGTCATCTTTCTTCCTCCCAACCCAAAGCCCTGCACCTAATTATATGCACACAGCTGCTTCCTGGGCCCAGAGCTGTGCAGAAAGGAACTGTCCCGTTTTATCCTCACAGCCATCTTGGCAGGGAGGTGCTATTGCATCCTCATTTTACAAAGGAGGAAACAGGCCCAGAAAAGTTGAATGACAGAAGCTGAGTCACACTGCCAAGAGCCCAGCCCGTTGCCTGGCTCCAGGGCAAGCATGGCTCAGACTCAGTGTGTTGCATCCTCTATACTGAGTTAACACTTTTGCCTAAATCTGCTTCCTCTTTCCCAAATTAAGTGCAAAAGAAAACGTTTTATCACTGTGGGGAATCAGAAATCAGCACTAACAGTCACAAAATCCCCAGGTAGACTAGATGGTTGTGTATCTTTTCTAAAATGGCCTCAAAATAAATATATAATCACCCAATTAAAGAAGGAGCATTCCTATACAAGACACTCACATGACATCCCAGGCATGAGCCCCAGGCCTTAAGCATGAGCCAGGACACCTCCAGGGACAAACACGCTGTCACACACCTTGCCTCCCTCAGGGGTAAAGGGAGCAGAAAGACTGCCAAGGGTCCGTTAAGACTACAGGCCCTTCCAGCTATGACAGTCTGGCTTCTTAAATCCCTCAATTCCCAAAGTGTGAATGATTCCAGATTCTACAGTTCGATGGTGCTAAGATTCTCCAGTATCAAGACTCATCATTTAAAGACTTGATATGATTTTAGGTTTGGATGATTTGACCTAAAATATGCAGGTTCCAGAACCAAAGGCTTGGTTCTGGAATTTGGAGGCTCCTAGATTCCATGAATAAACGTGCAGTCTGGGGAGCCCACAATATAGGTATTCTAAGGTTGACCTCCCAGAGGTCAGCCCTGCCAAAGAAGGGGTTTCTGAAGGGTCTTGGTGGCACCCCGGCCCTCCCCAACCCTCCTGGTCCAGTCTTACCAATCAAGGTGCCCAGGTGGACATTGAGGCCCTGCACCAGGTTGGAGATGCGCAGGCACACCTGTGTAGGACGGAGGAGGCTGTGCTCAGGGGCCCTCAGAGCTGGATGGGAGAGGCTTCAGGAGCCAGAGTTCCTGCAGAGGCCTCCCCAGGCTGGCACTCCAAGCTGGGTGCCTTACTTCCTCCTCCACCAACAGGGCCTCTCCCAGCACCTCCTCTGGGCCCAAAGACTGGTGAGGACACTGCAGGCCCGCAGGCATGGAGCAAAAGCTGTCACATTGGCTACTGCCAGACCGAGCAACTGAGGCAGGAACCCTGCTGCTGCAGGGTGCAGAGGGCCAGCTGCTTCCAGGGTGGGGTCCAGGTGGCAGATAGTGACCAGCGAGCCATGTCAGCCAGGCTGCGTGTGCCAGGCAGGGGAATGGAAACTCTCCAGGCACAGAGAGGAGCCAGAAAGGCATCCTGAGCCCTGCCCAGTATGACAGAAGATGGGTATAGAAAAGAGACTGCAAGGGGAACGCTCAGAGCCTGGGCCAGGCGAGGCCAAGGAGGGGAAGGACAGAGTCTTTCCCTCCTGCCTGCAGCGTCTTTCCCTGGAGAGCCTGTGAGGGCAGCGGGAGAGCACAGGGAGAGGCTACAGCAATGGGCAAGGCCAGGCACAGCCTGCAGCGCTCCCAGGACAAGCTGCCACCCACGCCTCTCCAGCCTCAGTTCCCCCACCTTGGGGGTGGGGTGGCTTACGGTGGGCTGACTTTGTCTCTGCTACTGCCCCTTCCAGGGAGATGCGGAGGGATGGGGCAGGAAAGGAGGGAAGACCAGCTCTCCTTGGGTGTTGGGGCCCTGGCCCAAGGGACAGTATCTCTCACCAGCTCAGCCACACGCAGATAGCAACAGGAACTAAAATTATCTGCAATAATCTCAGCAGCACATGCTCTTCAGGACAGTGATCTAAACTCCTCTTGGATAGTAGGGTCCAACCCTGCCCCCGCAGCCTGTGGAGGGACCCGGCTCCCCACTCACGGGTGATGCTGGACCAAAGGCAGCCTCAGCACACAGCGGGTTGGGGGTCAAGATCAAACCAGCCAAATCTGGCCCCTTGCTGTGCCCTTGCCACTCCTGCCTTGTCTGCCCTGAAAACACTGGCCCCACCCTCTAGCAGGGAACCCAGCGGCTGCCCCAAGAGGACAAACCGCCCTCCCCTTTGGCCATAGGGTTCCTCCAGCCCTGTCTGGACTGTGGCATCAGCCCTTCCCTGTCCTCACAGGGAGACTGAAGCTCCCGTTAAGAACCTTCTGTTTAAAAAAATAAATAAAGTCCCAGGGTAGGTGTGTAGTACAGTGGTAGAGCACATGCTTCGCACACATGAGCCCTTGGGTTGGAGCTCAGCACTGCACACACACAGCACATTCCAAGTGACCCGCCTCCCCGTGACTGAAACTCCACCATTTGCTCCCCATTGCTTCCCAGGTCAGCAATGACCCCCTCCCGGGCCATCCACCGGAAACTCTTTACCTTGTTGCTCAGGATGGCTTTAACATGCTTCTGCACCAGAACCAGCAGCATAGGGGAGGTGCTAAGGAGAAGATGCACGCAGGGCCCTCAGTCCTGTGGCCTGTCTCTCAGCAAGGCTGCAAGGCCGGGGCAGGAGCCTCTGTCCCCAGCCAGGAACCTAGCACCTCCCACCCAGGGTCCCACTGTGTGCCCAATGGTGCTGAAATAACTATTCCCATACCTGCAGAGATGGAAACTGAGTCTCAAAGAAGACAGTCATTTGTCTCACGGTCTGGCAGTGCCAAGAATGTGACAACTTTCTAAAGCCAGGCTCAGGAGAGACAGAGGACCTTGCAAAAGCCAGAGTCAGCCACGATCTCGTCATGACCACTCAAGCCCACGAGGGCGGGCTGGAGGTGGGGTTCCAGGGCTGCTTCTGCTCCAGTTCTCTGTGACCCACCTAGCTGTGGACCTCAGTTCCCCTCCAAACAAGAGATGATCTAAGTCGGTAGTTCTCAATGGTGGCCCATAGGAACCTGTGTCACTTGTTTGCTAAGTGCTGATGCAAGCAGCACCCAAGCTCCTCCAACCCCCCGGGAGGCAGGAGGCAGGCATCTGTGTTTTTACAGTATCAACTCAGGGTTTCTGTTTCCCCTTCAATAAGTGGGAAGCAGCCCCTGCCACGGGGATGGTCGGGGCTGTGGGTTGCACCTGATGATCCCAGGACACCGCAGAATGCACTCTTCTATGGGGACAAACTCCAGGCTTTGAGCAAATACTGCATTGTTTTTTAAGACTCTGAAATGCTCAGCCACGTGGAATGAGCCTGCTCACATTTAGGAAGATGCAGACGTGATAGCCACGATATGGAGCAATCACAGGCAGTGGAATTAGTCAAGCTGCCTGGGCTTGAATCTGGCTGTGACCTTGGGAAAGACACTTCACTGCTCTGTTCTTCTGTTTGTTCTCCTGTAAAATGAAGGGAACACTCACACCTACTGGTGGTCTAGGTAAGGATGATCCCCATAAAGGGCCTGAGTGGTGCCCAGCACATAGTAGGTGCTCTGAAAGTGGGGGCTGCTGTTAGCCTTCCACGCAGATGTGAGCAATCACCTGACACTGAGATCTTGGTCCCTACACCTCCCTGGGCTCCAGACTTCCCATCTCTGCTGGGAGGGGTGGCCTCCAAGGCTCCTATTAGCTGCTCTGACCCACCCAGAACCAGAACCCTCCCCGGAGAGGATATTCCTGGCCAGAGTGCATTGTCACTGGCCAGAACACAGGCTGTCCCTCAGGCAAGTCCCTCCCCTGCTGAGACTCAGCTCAGAAACAGCACCCCGAACTTGGCACAAAGACCCCAGCACCCCTCTATACACCCACCTGTTACTGCCATCAAGAACACTGGCGGGACTGAAGAGTGGGGAGCAGGTAGAGATGCTGACCACAGGGGTCCTGATGGGACCCTGGGCCACGCGGGCATCTGCTGTCAGTGTCATGGGCAGTATCAGCTCCAGAGGTTCAGGGACGCTGGCAGAGAACACAGCCTGAGGCCCAGCAGTGCCACCCAGCAAGACCCACCCCAGTGGATGAAAGACCCCACAATCTGGGGCTGCCCCCCCATCTGACACAGGAGGCCCCACCCAGCACCTGACAGCCCCACCTGGGCAGACCCAGGGCCCCCACCCCACTTGTTGCTGCAGATGGCTGTGGGCCCTGGCTCTCAGTGACCCTCACTGCCAGAGCCTGGCCAGCACCGCCATGCTGAGTTCCATTTTCTATGCTGTGCAGTGGACATAAGATTGGTGGCACCTGCTTCACAGGGCTGTGCTGAGTTCCCCAGGAGGTCGCCACATGAAGGCACCCAGCTCTGGCCTGGCCACAAGCACCCAGGGCATCACAGTGCCAGGTAGAAGTCCCTTAGAAAACCAGCTCAGAACTTAAAATTAAACATGGTATCACCAGCTGCCTGGGGCATAGAAATCATTCTGATAGCTGTGTTTATTGAGCACCTACTACGTGCTGTTTCAGCAATGAATCCCCTCACTGCAAAGTGTTATCACAAAGATGTGGACATTGACAGCTGGAGAAGTGCAGGCCTCTGCCAGTCACACAGCTGCTGAGCAGGACCTAGGGTCTTGATTCTCACATCTCACCTGTTTCCCAGGCTGGGTCTGAGAAGCCAGGAGAAGATGCCGACCCCTTCCTCACTCTGCCCCTGCCGCACCTCTGAAACTGTTCCTTCCACGCCACAAGGAGACTCACTCACCTAAAGACCTTGATGGTGAAATTGGCTGTTGCCATCAGATGTAGCCCAAAACCAGCAATGAATTTCAGGTCGAGGTGGGGCACGTGGACACCCAGAATCTGGATCCTGCAGAGTAGGAATCAAGGTGACAAGGGACTCTTCCCTCTAAGCCATGGAGTCAGCTTTGGGTTAGCCACTGCTGATGTGATAAAGCAGGGCCTCAGACCCTGGAACCAGGAGGTGAGGGAGAGGTGGTGAGCTCTCCACCATAGGGAGCATGTGAGCCAGGGACAGCCAGTGGGAAAGGAGGACCACCAGGGGGCCCTAGCCTTAGGCAGGATGTGGGTGAGATGATTGTGCGGGTTTCCGGCAGTTTCTGGCAGCAGCATGGGAAACTGGGAAGGCGAGAAAGAGAGACTTTAAGATCCACCAAAGGCAAAAACCTCCTTGGAGCACTCTAGCCAACCCTGTGGCGCATGGCCTTCCAGGAACAGGAAACTCATTCCCTCCAAATCTGCCTGTCCGGGCCATTCCCTCTAACCTCTCCCCAGTGACACTATGACTTCCTTTTTTCCTAAGTAAAAATCATTTTTTTCTTTGCACAGTAGTTGAGGGGAAAATTCAGACACCACAAAATGGTATAAAGTCTAAAGATTACATCAAACCCACCCTCAACACCTGCAGCCTTGGGTAACACAGATCCATAGCCCTCCCCGGCACACAGCCCACCCTGCTGACTGCATAATCATCCCGGCTGTGCTTCAGTGTCTACAAATGCCACCCCCAATGTGGTGTGAGGGTGCGGCCAGGCCAGAAAAAGCTGCAGAGACCTGAGTGTGTCGGTTCACCTACAGGTGCTCCAGGGGCTTAAAATGAAGTCTTTCAATTATTGCCATCATAATACATAGATAGATAGATAGATAGATAGATAGATAGATAGATAGATGATAGATAATAGGTAGATATAGATAGAAGATAGATAGGTATAGATAGAAAGATAGATTGATAGATGATTGAGAGAGAGAGAGACAAAGAGAGAACGAGGGAGATGGGTGGATTCTCTTGGGGACCCAGCGATCTGTCAGTAGCGAGTCTGTGTTCCCACATGGATGGGGACAATCAGCCCAGCCCCTGGAGGAGACTGAGTTTGAGATGCCCCATACCCCTATGCCTCTGAGTCTCTATGCATTAGAGGGGAGAGGAATTAGGCTCAGACTTGTGTCTAAACTCAGCATCTGGCTTCCAGAGCAGCCATCAGTCTTTTGAGTTCTGTAGACTCAGGGGCTACAGTCTTGGACGCTGAAGGCAGAAATTCCCTAATTGAGAGGTGCCAGGCCCCCATGGTGTCAACTTGGTCCTGTTTCCTAAATCTTGTAACCACTCACCTGGTCGGTGGGAGCATCTAACTTGTGAGGGGAGGACTCACTACAGGAGGCTGTGTTCATTTGAAGGCCTGGACCTGGTGTCCAGGGGCTGGGAGCACTGCCCTGCTGGGATATCTACCTGGAAGGGACATTCCTGCAAGACCTCCTCTCCTGGTGGTCTAAAGCACTCACCCGGCTGGCAGGGACACTCCACCTGGTGGCAGGAGCACCTTCTCTGCAGAGGGAGCACTCACCTGGTGGGCTGAAGCATCTCACCACTCCAGTCCAGAAAAGGTGGAACTATGATCTTCAGGGCATGCTGGAGAGGGACTTTCCCAACATCAGACACTGCAGGGCCAGGGCACGGTGAGGTCAGGCTGGCCTCGGGAGCAGCAGGAACACACCGCCCACCTCGGCGCTGCACACTTCCAGGAGAGGACTGAGATACAGGGAGGGATGGGCTCCCCCCAAGCCCACACAGGGAGGATGCCAGCCCCGCACCAGCACAGTGGATGGCTCACATCAGCCCTCTGCCTGTGCCGTCTTGTTCATCCCCGTTCCTCAAAGACAATAAAATCCTTTGCCCTCATTCCAGGCTCCAAACTGCTCCTGTCTGCTCAGAAGCCTTCCCCAAGCCTGATGGCCAAGGGGACATCCTTGTGAGGGGCACAGCAGCCTCACCCGGAGGCTGAGCCCTCTAGAGTACCTCAGGTTCTGGGTGCCAGTCCCAGCTCTACTACTCACTGCCTATGTGGCTGCTCTGTGCTTCAGTTTCTGCAAATCTGCAATGACTGTAATGGTACCTGTCACTCAGAGCCACTGCAAAGACTGTGAGTGATGAGAGCTGTCACCATCACTGTGGGTCCGTGTATAATCGTGGTGCGTGGTGCGTGGCACTGCTGGTGAGCCAGGCATGTTCTGAGTGCTCTTCCTTCTGTCTTTACGCCCAGCTTGCAGGGGGGTGAGGACAGCTGGCCAGGGCGAGCTGGCTTGGGACCCGGGTGCCTGGCCCTGCATCTTCACGTTTCTGCCCTCACCTGCACCCCTGGACTCAAGAGCTAATAAAGGCCAGTTGAGTTAAAATGAGAGGCTATGGCCCTGAAGGGAACAAGAATTTAGGAGTAAAGAAGCTCAGACTCACTGTGCAATGATGGGAAATCACCGAGCCTCTCTCGGCCTCGGTGTCCCCAGACAGCAAAATGGTGGTGCCCTCCATGTTCCCAGAGCCCTCCAACCTGACCACCTCCAGCTGACTGTGACTCACACCCAAGCCTTGGACTCCATCCACAGTGCTCCCCTGGCTCAGGGCCTGAACTCTGGGGTGTGGAGGACGCAGGGACGGTCACCAGCACAGGCTTGGAGGCAGCGTATGCAGTGAGGCCACCCACCGGGTTTCCGCCAAGAACAAACACAGGCAGATGCACCAGGGCGGACTCCGAGGGACAAAGGAGGCCTGCACAGGACAGGCAGAGAGCAAAAGGGTGGCAGCGGGCGGTGAGCCTCATGTCCCTGCCTGCAGGCACCAGTGTGCAGCTTGTGGGATCACCCTGTGGCACGGATCACTGACGGCTTTCATCGCCTGCCCATCTGCCCGGATGCAGATCCTGGAGAGCTGTGTGTGCACCAGGGGTGGGAGGGGACCCTGCTGCTTCCCGGAGCCGCCGACTCAGTGCTTTGTGGCCTGGACCGTCGAAAGTCCCTCTACTGTCTGGCTTGAGTCCCTCAAACTGTGATCTAAATTTGATCAGGTCTTAGAGAAAACACTCACTGATTTCTCAGGCTGACCCTGCTTTGATGGGAACCTCAAAACTTCCCTGGGTGGCAACTGGATGTGAAGAAAGATTTCTGTGCTCATTTCCTGGACCTTGGCACCTTTGTCCCTCACCTCCCCAATGTGCCTTCTGCAGGGGCCAAGGCAGGACTCAGAAGGATCTAGCACTCTGTCCATAGCGGAACATGCCTGTAATCTCAGTCTCTGGAAGGCTGAGGTAGGAGGATCGCAAGTTCAAACCCAGCCTGGGCAGACTGGCAACTTTGTGATACCTCATTTCAAACTGAAAAAATAAAAAAAGGCTCAGGATGCAGTTTCGTACCAGGCTCTAATCTAACAGCAAAGCCATAGGACAGACACCCTGCCCCCATGGGCCCAGAATGAGGCTGGCTCCCTCACGCTGAGCCCAGCAGGGACCTAACTCCCTGTAGCATTGGGCTTGACACACCTTTCTGTAGCCCATGTGTACAAAGATATAACACACACGTGACATGCAGACACACCTGTGACACACATGCAGCCCATGCACACACCTTCCCCAACACCCATGCATACTGTGGGCACATCTCCACAAGGCACCAACTCTTAGGTTGACATACACTTGCAAACATGGCCAGCTGTGCCCACAGGACAGAGGTCATGGGCACAGATGTGAGCACACACTGCGGCTCGCACATCCACCTCAGAACTGCCGAGCTGCAATGTGTTAGGCACTGTCTGAGAGCCAGGGACACCATGGCAGATGAAATCCAGTTCCCCCAACACACATACACACACACACACACACACACACACACATACACACGGCTCTCATACACATGCCAGAAGCCCATCTCTTACCATAGCTCAATGCCGCCCTGTTGATTCGGACCACGGTGCCTGGCGAGGAGGCAGGGACTGCGGGCAACAGTAGCACCAGCAATAGGCCCAGCCCATGATGTACCCCAGCCATGGCTGCCTGGCCACTGCCCTGGGATCGTCAGGTGGGGCAGAGATATGCAGTAGGGAGTCTGGTCAGAATAACGGTCCCCTCCTGGGTTGCCCAAAGCCCACTCTAGCCTGAAGCACACAAGCCCCAGCAGTGATCTCAGCCCCGCTCCTGGTGCCCAAACAGTCCTGTTCACATTTCTGCACTTAGGATGACCATCCTCCTCTGCCTACTTCCTCGGGAGCCACGAGGGGATCTGGTGCAGAAATGGGCCCCAAGCCCCAGAGAAGGCATGGCCTTGTGCAAGACACACGGCAGCCAGGCCAGGTGCAAGACACAGCCATGTCAGACAAGGACGGTAAGACTTCCAAAGAGAGAGAGGTCCCAAGAAGAGGCCCAAGCCCACTGTGTCACCTAATGCGAGCAGTCGGCCCGGTGTGACCACTAGCATGACATCCAGCCTCCCAGCACCCAGGATGCTCCTGTCCTCACCTCGTCTTGGCCAGGTGAAGAATGCCCTGGGACTGGGCCACTCCCTGGGTGCCCTAGGCCCTCCCAAGGCAGCCCAGCCAAGCATGCAGCGCTTTGTCCAACTCAGAGAGGGATTTCGTTCCCAGAGGAGGGGTGGGAACTCGGAGACGGATTTCGTTCCCTGCCCAGAGGGGTGAAGGATGGAGGCCAGCAGGGCAGCCCTTGCCTGAAGTCCCTGTGAGCCCAGGCTTGGACAGTGGAGGCACCCACCCCAGAGAGGCACCAGCCTAGCCCCTGCCTACCTCGCTATCTGGAGACAGGCAAATGCTCAGCCCCAGGCCAGCCCTATTCGGTCCCAAGACCAGGTGAAGGCTGCTTATGAGGCTCCTCGCAGAGATCGGGGAGCGGCAGGTCTGCGTGGTGGCAAATGTTTTCCCTGCAAACACGGTCTTTGCCAAAGTGTGCCATTTCCTAGGCGCGATGGGGCTGCCACGTCACCAGACCTGGCTGCCAATTGCTGTGGGACCCTAGAGGGGCAGCTGAGCCTCAAGGGCCAGGAGGGAGGAAGGAGGGCTCTTCCCAGGAGCGTCCCCACATCACCCCAGCCAGGCCCAGGGGCAGGGGATGGAGGCAGCAACCCCTCAGACCTAGTGTCACCAAGCTCTCCCAGAAACATGACCCGTTTAGAGAGGCAGAGGGCTACCTGAGCCCCATTCCCCATCACTGCCTGAGCCCTGACCCTGGTCACACACTGAGTCTTAACACGAAAGGGACCAAGGAAGTATGGATGAGCAAGTGTGGATGGCCCAGTCCTCACCGCTCAACACTCAGCCCCTCTACAAATGTACATCCCACAGCTGTGGCCTGGGCTTCACCTTTCCCACTGACACACTCCGGCATCCTCCCTGGCTTTGCAGGACCTGAAGAACTGGGTATGCGGGGGAGGCCCTTTTATATGCACGAACGTGTGTGCATGAGAGAGAAGGCTGTGTGTGGATGGTTACAGGTACTCGTGTGCATTCATGTGTGATGACTGGAACCAGAGGAGGAGTGTGTTTGAGGTGGGGGAGAGGGGGACCACAACCTAAGACGCTGACATCTTGGTGTTCAGTGTGACAAGCCAATATACACAAGCCGGCATGAGTGCCATGTGACAGGTTTTGTGTAGGTGTGTCTGTGTGGGCTTGGTCTGCTGTGTCTGAGTGCACATAGTAGGTGCATGTGTGTACAGTGAGCTGTCCCCTGGGAGTGGTGTGCGTGTGTGTGTGTGTGTGTGTGTGTGTGTGTGTGTATGCATGTGCAAAGAAGGTGATGGCCCAATTGCCGGAAAGCTCTCTACCTCAGCATGATTCATAAGGTGAAGATGCCCAAAGGGCCTCAGAAATTCCTTTATTCCATAGCCCTCTGTGGCTCCCACTGACTCCACACCAGCCCACTGATGCCTAAATCTAGGTCCTCTTGACCCTCATCACAGCCTAAGCAAAAACAGTGGACTCAATGAATGGGAGCTCAGATATTCAGCACTCTTGAAGGTTGAAGCAAGAGGATCATGAGTTCAAGCCCCGCCTGGGCAACTTAGCAGCATAGCAAGATCTTATCTCAAAATAAAAAGGGCTGGGAATATAGCTCAGTGCAAAGGTCCCAGGTTCAATCCCCAGTAGTGCACACACACAAAAAAAAAACCCCTGCAAATATTGACCAAAGTCATTCTCAGTGTTTGCTTTGACATGAACATTTCCTCCAACACTTCCAACACAAAGGTTATTTTGATGACATCCAGGTAACACAAAGGAAGGATTCCCATCAGCCCATCCCCAGTGCTTAGCCACCTCCCTCCAGCAAAGTCGAGTACTGTTTGTTGAGTACCTGGTATGCACAAAGAGTTCTGCACCCACTCTGCCTACATCCCCAAGATGGGGGTTGGTTCTGCTCAACCCCATATTCAGTACCTGGAGCAGAGTAGATGCTTAATACATGTTTGTTGAGTGAAAAAATGAATGAATGCACAGTTGAAAAACCCTTGTCATAACTGATAGTAGGATTTGTTTCCCCCTCACTGGATTTCTCAGGAACCCTGTACCTACCTCCTACTGCCACTGTAACAAATGACCACCAACTTAGTGACTTAAAACACAAACTTATCATCTTCCAGCTCCAGAGGTCACAAGTTCAAAGTGGGTCTTGCTGGGCTAAAATCCAGGAGGTATCAACAGGGCCACATTCTTTGCTGGAGTCTGTAGGAAAGGAACAATTTCCTGGCTGTCCCCAGGCTGTCCACCAGCAAGGTGCTATCTCTCTGCCTCTCTTTTCTCTGCTTACAAGGATCCTTCTGATGACACTGGGCACATCTGGATAATTGAGGATAGTCTCCCCATATCAAGGTCGTCTGAGTAGTGACCTTAACTCTGTTTGCTACCTTCAGATCCTCTTTGTCATGTCACTTAACGTGCTGATTTTATAGTGCCAACCTCTTTAGGGTAACAAGAAGAAGGAGGAGGAGGAGGAGAAGAAGGAGGAGGAGGAAGAGGAAGAAGAGGAAGAAGAGGAAGAGGAGGAGGAAGAGGAGGAGGAGGAAGAGGAGGAGGAGAAGAAGAAGAAGAACAGGAAGAAGAGGAAGAGGAAGGGGATGAGGAAGGGGATGAGGAGGAGGAGGAGTACAGCTTTATTAAAACAACACATAAAATGTTGCTCTGTGTGACACAAATGTCCACCACTGAAAGGCTTGGTATTGTGAAATACATTTATGTGTAACCTAAGAGGGGTGAATGGAGGCAGTGGGGCAGGAAGTCATCTGGGGAGCAAGGACAGCCCAGGCCAGTTACTGGAGACTCAGCTGGTAACCCTGCTCAACACCCAAGAGCCTGGCATGGCTCTTCCTGTTTTATGGCTTCAGTTTCCCCATCTTAAAGATAGAGAGGTAGTCACAATAGCGTCCTCTGATGGGCCAGCTGAAGACAGGGTGGCCTCCCTGCCCACCTACTCTGTGAGGTCACAATGCCCACAGTTCCACCTGACCTCAGCACGTCCACATGTCACCCTCCAGGAGACATTCAGAGGCGGTGGCAGCAGCCACTTCCTCCTCATTGAGTTCCAGAGATCCCCACCACCATTTCTCCATCCTAGAGAAAGACATCAATGCCACGGTTCTCAAGGAACCCTGGGGACCCATGTGTCCTGCCTGAAGATGTGGTCTACAATGCCAGGCCCAGGAGGTGAGGACAGCCCCTCCCTTTGACCAGCCCCTTACAGTTTACAAAAGGCCTCATCCTCTCCTAGGAGGTAAGCCAGGGGCAGCAACTGTGCTGCAGGTACAGCAGCTGAGCAAGACCAGAGACATCCGGTGGTGGCTTCCCAAAGGCTCCAGCCAGGAGGTGGCAGAGTGGCCAGCCTTCCAGCATGTGTTTCTTGCATACCTGCTGTGTGCCAGGCATGGGGCAGAGGCCAGGGAGCACAGTGTTGTGCCAATCCATATGTTCTGCCTTCAGGGAGCTCATGCTAGTGAGGGAGGCAGGTGCTGAACAAGAAAACGCACGTCTCTGTCCCTGGGTCTGTTAGGGGGCCTCTGGTTGCAGGTGACAGAAATTCCAACAAAATGGTGCCCATTTCTGGGCCCCAGAGCAGGAACGTATACAAAACAAACCATGGTAATTCCAGCTACTCAGTAGGCTGAGACAGGAGAATCAGGAGTTTGAGGCCAGCCTGAGCAGGTTAATGAGGCCCGAGCAGATTAGTGAGGCTCTGTGTCAAAATAAAAATAAAAAAGGACTGGAGCTGTAGATCAGTGATAGAGCACTTGCCTAGCTTTATAGTACTAGTTTTATCCCCAGTACTAGAAAAAAAAATCCACAAGAGTGAGGGAAGAAGCTGTTATAACTTGAATATGTATTTTTTAGTTAATCCCTCTGTTTTCAATTGACATTTAGGAATTGTACACATTCATGGGGACAATGTGATAATTCAGTACCTATGTATTACAGGTAATGATCAAATCAGGTAATGAGCATTTTTTCCTGTTGGGAAACTTTAGCTTCCTCTCAGTTATTTTGAGACACATAATAAGTTGCTGTAAACTGTTCACTTTACTGTGCTATATATTCTTTAGGAATATTTAAATAAATCTGTACATTTGGAAACAATGATAATATGTTAGCATAACCGGGTACTATGTTAGTCATATTTCTGTCACTATAACAAAACATGTGAGGTAAATAACTTAGAAAGAAAAAAGGTTTGTTTGGGCTCATGGTTATGGAGGCTCTAGTCCATGGTCAGGTGGCCCTGTTGCTTTGTGTGGCAGCACAGTATGGTGAGAGTGAGTGGAAACAAAACTTCCTCATGAGCCAGGAAGCAGAGAAAAGGGAAGAGCCTGGGTTTCCACAATCCCTTCAAAGAGAACCCCAAGTGACCCAAGGACCTCCCAGTAGCCCCCCACACATAGGTTCACAGTACTGCCCCCTAGTGCCACCCTGGGAAGCAAACTTTTAACACAAGGGCTCTGGGGAAAGGGCAGTCAGCATCCAAACTGTAACAGGCATGCGGATAATTTCTTAATAAGCATAAACACAAAGGGGGTATAATTTGTAAAGTTTGTAGCACATTGCCTTAAGAAGTAAACGAAATACTTTTATCTCACCTACCAAAAGGTTCTAAGGAGCAGATGGTTCCAGAGTATATGAATTTCCCATTCTTTGATGCCTCCCAAGACCCAAGTTACTGCTATCATTTGGTGTTCCTTATAGCCTCCTCTCCCTGTGGTCACAAGATGGCTGCCACAGCTCTGGCTGTCAGATAGAAACATGGCTATCTAAGGTAGAAGGGAAGTGGGCTGTGCTTCCTGAGGATCTCATTTCAGCGGTGACCAAACCATTTCCCCAAGTCCTATATGGCCAGAGCCACCACACCCCACCCTACCTCACCCCTGCCAATGCCGCACCCTTGAAACCAACACTTGAAGCGGGTGGGTGGGCCACAACAGGCTTAAACAATCCGATGCCTTACCTCACATGGGGTGGAAGATGAGGATGAGACAAAAATAAGATTTCTGCCAAGAAGCAGGGGGTAGCTTTTGGGTGACAATCACCATGGCGGTCAAAGCAACCAGAGTTTGTCCTCAAAAGAGGCCTGTATTTGGGAGCAGCCAGAGAGATCTGTCCCTGAGGTGTAGTCCGGCATTTCCTAATCAGCTCTGTGGCTCAGTTTCTCCACCTGGAATGTAGCGACATCCATACCCTCCAGATTTTAAAATGTGATCATGACCATGACCTTTGTCTTCCCCAGGGGCAACCAGCGAAACCGGAACCCCTGCAGGTTGGCCGAGGAGCCCACAGCACAGAGGAGTGAGCCAAGGGGGGGACTCTGGGGGCTCATGGGCAGCTCAGAAAGGTCTCACAGGCAACACGGGAGGGCCCAGCAAGAGAGGAGATGGGGCGGCGGGGGATACTTGCACCAAGCCTGTGTCCCGGAGGCTGGCAGCAACGTGACAGCGTTATTTTCTCCGCAGATGACGGCGCCCTGTTGCGTGCCCGCATCAACACCCCAGCCGTCAGCCTGACACACTCTGTGCTGGAATGTGTGTGTATGTATGCACTCAAGCCCCAGCTTGGCCATCCATGTGGCCTGGGAAAGGGTCCCGTCTCAGGCCAGGCAGACCCCAGCCAGGCGAGGCCAGCCCTGCTGCAGGGTCTGTAGACAGCAGCAGTCCACGCTCTGAAGCCTTCCCATGGCGGGGCGCATCCCAGGCAGGGTCTTTCTGGCAATTGAAAGGGGAAGTAGGAAGGAACCTTGCTGTTTAAAGGGGAAATTACCTGCCAGCCCTCCTCTGCTCTGGTGCCTCGATCCCTCCACTGAGTCCTTCATCAATTCACCCATTCTGGTATTTGTTGATACATCTGTCCATCCGCTCACCCACCTCTCTGCCTTTCTATCTATCCTCTCCTCCTCCCATGCTCTCACCCATTTTCCTATTCATCCATCTTCCAGGTCAGGCAGCCATCCTTTCCTCAGTCCCCCGGCCACCCATGTATCCTTCCACTTCTGGCCATCCTGAATCCCTGCTTTCCCCTAGCTCCGTGGTAGGCACCTAGAAATGAACCCAACAAGGACCCTGCCCGTGCCAACTCCCAGTGCTTGCTGTGCTCCAGAGCCACTGCTGCTATTCAGTGCCACTGCTCGGCGAGCGGGGGTCATCTGTGGGACCTGTACTCACTCCAGCCTGGTGCTCACCCATGGCCTGAGCCAGTGGCGGCCAAGCGGGTCTCCAGCTCCCGGGTCTCCCCCAGCTCCAGGGCAGCCAGTGAGTCTGCGCAATGGCACTCACTGCCCTCCTGTCTCCACTGCAGCCTGGTTCAACTGCCTGGCCTGCTTCCTGAGAACCCAGACCCAGCAAGTCCTGTTCAACACCTGCAGGTGAGCGGGAAGTAGGGGAATGGGGACAGGGGACAGCTGGTGACCATGCAGCCTCTTCATGGCTTTGGACCTCTTCCTGATAGCCAGAATGGATAAGGGATCCCAAACCTGGCTTTTACAGAACCCCAACCCAGAACCCACTGTGACTCCCCTGCTCCAGCTCATCCTGCAGCCCCCTGAAGCCCTGCCCCTGCTGCCTTTCCAAACTGCCCTCATTTGCCTTCCTGCTGTGGACCCACAGGGCCAGGCAGGCTGGGGTTCTCTCCATAGACAATGCTCCTGTTCCCAGCCCTACACCTTTGCCTGGACTATGTTGGGAACATACCTTCAGATTCAGCTTGTCAGTGCTGATAACAAAGCGCTCAGACATCAAGAAATCTCAACAAGCAAGGTTGTTTTACTTCTGCAGAAGGGCACTAGCACATTTTAGCATGAAGTAGCAAGTACATGCAGAGGCACAGCAGCAGGGTCCTTTTATTTTCTAACTCATGAGAAGCAGCCGACCTTCTCTCCATTGGCTTGTTTGAAGGCTCACAATCTGTCCCAACTGGCTAATTTAAGTGGTGCTGGGAGAAGGCCTGAAGGGTTGCCGGCCAGGGTTGCTAAGGGAGGGGAGAATAGGGTGGATGGGGAACTCAAAGTCCTTGGCTGTTGATAAATTATTGTTGGTGGTGTCGTGTTGCTGGAATCAAAGCTGAGCAGACATTCCCAGTAACTCTGGTGTAAGGGGTGGGTGAGGGCAGCCCAGGGCGGACTGGAGTCTAAGGTGGAGGCACTCCTGTTTATAACCTTTGATAGAAAAGACTGGGCTGCAGTTTCTCACAGCTGTGCTTCCTGCCTGGGCTTCCAGACGCTTCTCTCCCTTTACCTGCTCCACCCCTGTAAATTCCTCTGTGCTCCTGCACAGCTATCTGCCTCATTCATCCAATTAAAGTTCAAATTTTAACCTTTCCTTAATGCTCACTCTGGGCCCGGCCCCACCA